GAGTAGTAAAGGCTAATTAATCTGAGAGCAACACTGTCATAATGTAGTTATTCTTTAACATTCAGAGCCAGCTCACCTCTGATGCAGGTATTTGTGCCATACTTTACTGTGTCACATGCCTGGATGAGTTGAAATTATTGGAATTAGGCACTCAGTTTTTGAGATGTTGTGAATTCAGAATTCTTTAAAACATTTGAGGTAATATGCTCATAAAAAAAAATAGAAAGAGAAAATAGTAACAAAAGTTACATTTAGCTTATGGATCTGGTTCATACATGTTTTCTTAGGCCTTCTGAGATTTTAAGTGCCTCCAGGCAATAACCAAGGGAATTGGAACACATTTTTTTAATGGTTTCAATAGCTACAGCTTTGAGGAAAGTATCACTTTTGAAACTCAGTATAAAATCAGAAGTTAGCAAATATACACAGGTCATCTAGATCTAGCTCAGTCTTATTCCTCCTGCGTCTTCCTTTTCAGAGATGAGGGAAAATCTTTAAAAGTGCTAAAATAAAAGCAGATACCTTGCTACTGAATTTAAGTACTTAGGAGAAGGTCAGGTACAATAATCAAGTACTTTAGAAAATACCTTTCACTTTATGTTGCATGAAAAATGCTTTAATTAATTTATTAGCTGTCTTAGAATTCATATAGGCACCTCTCAACTTCATCACTGGTGAAGTGAAATTCTATACCATCTGTCCAGCAAGATCCAGCCAAATGGTCTTTGGTAAACTGGACAGCTTTATTCTTCAACAAGGATGGCATGTCCTTCAGGTCTTAGGAAAATTTCTTCTGCTTCAATGCACTCTGCTAAAATGAAAGGCCAAACCTGAAAATAGTACCCCTAGTTTCTCCAATGTTGTATAACTGCATCAGCTGCCTTGGCACCAGTGCACAAACCTTGCACAAATTGATAGACATCCAGTATTAGTTTTACTTGGGCTTTCTTTTTCTATAAGAAGAGCTTCCTAAGAGTAACCTTGTTTGCGTTGACAGACTTCTGGTCCATTTTTTGATAGTTTGATTAGTAAATCAGCATGCCTGAAGAAATGAAATAGAAATGAATGAGATTAAATTAAATGAAATATTCTTTAGGTCCCCTCTGCCTCTATATGATACGAACTCAAGTGTACAGACTATCTAAGTATAGAGATGTTTATTGCAGGAAAGTTCTGAGCTTATTCCTTTGCTTCATTCCAGTTTTGTGTAATGAACCATCAAGATTTATTTACTGGCTACAGATACTGGCAGTGCAGGTTCAAGTTAATTCAAGTAATTTTTTTGTCTTCTCCCTCCTATCCCCCAGAAAGAACTGCAGTCTAGATATCAGAAACCTCAAGCATTCTCTCTTTTTTCCTCTTAGCAAAATAGTTGTACAGTCCTCCGTGAGGCAGTAAGACAGTTTGCCAGTTTTTCTGAGGTTTTTGTCTGAAAACTCAAGTTCTCTAAGAGCTATGCAACTTTCTGTTGCATAGCTTTCTGTGCACTAGTGAGCCTGAAGGCCCTGACCACTCTTTTCAGGGACCTACACCGCAGCCTGCCCAGGACATCTATTTCTGCGGCACCTGGGTTCTGAGTCCCTGCTTAAATGACATCACAGATGTCCTAATGTTCATCTTCCCCAGAGCTGTGGACCGCATTGATTCAATTTTCCTGCCTTGAGCTTGAACCTGCCTTATCACCATGATTCCACTGAGTGTTCTCTGAACTGTTCCTGACTTGTGGTTACCTTCACCAGACCAGATCCAGATTTAAAAGGGTGAATTAACTTCCTGACTCTACCTCAGGTTTGTGTGGTCACCATGAACTTGGCTGGTGATCTGGACTCTTGGTTGAAACCTATCATCTCAGGATCTGCCTTGCTTAGGATGGGGGCCTGGCTGGCAAGGAGCCTGTCCTACTCGCTGTTTTACCATGCTTGACTCCCTTTTCCTCAACTAGCAGCTGGACTTCAGTGGTCCCTGACACCGTGCTTGGCTTAAATATTTTCTGTTGTAGTTAAAGATAGCTCATTTTCCTGACTTAGGATATTTCTGCTAGCAGATTCGGCTGCCAGAGCAGTTTAGGAATCATCAGCATAGGTATTGGTTTTGTACAGCAACGTTGGTATGTTTCTTGTTTTGCAGAGATGGAAGCCTGGGGCTATGTTCAGAAGCTCAGAACCTTTTCTTACTCCTCTGTGTTTGTTTAGGTCCTGATCTCAATTTTTTTTTGAGCAGTATTTGCAAAATCGTCTTAATGGCACATTGACAAAGGCTGTAGAATGCACTTTACCTCACCATTGCCTCAGTACCAGCCTTTCTGTCCCTTTTCAGAAATTCTCTCTAGGTATTGCTTGAGCAGGAAGCTGACATATCCTGTTTTTAGGAGGTTCTATAGAGATCTTGATGTTTGTCTGTATCCAAAGATCCTGCTGCAGCTATCTCCTTGTACAAGGACTACATGAATTAAAATCAGACATGAAGAAAAAAAATCAAATTAAAAAAAAATCAAATTTAGAAGAATGATAGTAGTAAATTGCAGGTGGTTCAGGAAGGAAGTTGGTTTGTATCATGTAACTTTCTCCATTACCTTTCTATCCTGCAGTTAGACTAAAATGCCATTGCTTAATTGATTTATGGCTGGCTGAGATCACCTTCATGGGCTTTCAGCCACCCTTTGTATGGTCCTCTGTGCATTGGATAGGATTCTAACAACATTTTCAGACCATTTTTATCATGGAGGGGTACTTCTCTTGCTGTACGGTGTCACCTGGGTAAATGAGTTATATTGGTTTTCTGACCTAATAGTAAGTCATGATCCAGTAACATTTTCAGAGTAAGCATACTCCACTCTGTGAATATGGCTTTTCCTCCAAACAGGTTGATGTCACTGAGGTTTGATTGAACATATATCACAGTTCTCATGGCTCTTTTCCAACTGTTCTCTTCATGACAACACACATGTTCTCTTCATGACAATCTTCTACAAGATTTATAAAACTGTTTTGAGATGTTCTTTATGTTACTGCATTGGCTTCTTAGCTCTTGGCTGTTTCACAGTTCTTAAAGGTTTATTTCCAGTGGTTGTCCAATCAGAACAATGTCAAAAAGGAAGTGCTTTTTCATTCTACTCTGGTAAAAAATGGACAGTGAGGTGCTTGTTCAAGATTGCTGATTGGTGGTCTTCAAAATTAAATGCTGTGTTCAGTATTTTAAACCTAATGATCTGGAGTTATATATGGCCTTTCAGTCACGCTTTGGATACTTGGGTGTGTGCACACTACTTGAACATCAAGCACTAAATGAATGAGTTGTCATTTCTGAGAAACAATATAACAGAAATATGTTCTGAATGATCATTAAAAGTAAAAGTTTTTACTTTTTCTGTGCTTGGTAATGTATTCTAAAAATAGCATTACTATGTTATACCTTTGTCTTTTATGTCAACTTTCTTTCAGTCTAATAAGGACAATATCATTTGAGGCAATCAAATAAGTGGATTGATCCTTTGTTCCTCAATAGATGGGGCAGAAGCATCAAGGTTTTCAAATTATAGGAGATAGAACTAATGTTCTGTACATTTTCGTGATGTGTTTTGTGATTCTTACACTGCAGACTCAGGCAGTCTTTTCATATCAGTTAAACTCAGATTATATTCTCTAGTTTTCAGGTAAGGAGTAAAATCCTCTGAATAGCAGATTGTGATTTTTTTGTGGGTTTAAGACTTAAAATTAGAAATCCAGTGATAGATTTGTTATTTACTCATTATTCAGAGAGGACAGACTCCAACACAGGCAGTTATGCATAACTCTTTTGACATTCTTAGAAATGCAAGGGACTAACATGAATACAAACTTTTTGGAACTTTGAGGAAATTCAGATGTGTATGCAAAACCTGCAGTCCAGTCTCTAAGGCTGCAAAACTGGAATAGCAAATTACAGAATTAGTATTCAGAGTTCAACTCTGCTGCTTAGATCTATATCTAAAAGTGATTTGTAAATGCCTAAAAAAATATTTAGAAACTTTGAGGGAAAAGGAAGGTACAAAGTACTTAAAATTTGCAAAGGTAAGAAAGATTTGACACATAAAAGTACATTTCAATCAATTTCTTTTTGTTTTCGTCTTTCAGAGATTCCCTTTCAAACCACTCTGGCTCTCCCTCTGACACTTTCTAGATTAACGGTTCTGCTGATGTTACATCTGCAACAGAACTGCGTAGGAACATCGTATCAGTTCACCACAATTTCCATAGAAGTGCAAATTTGTTACATTTAAAGACATTATAAAATTAAAGTACTTAAACCCATGTGGTTTGGTAATACTGGATTGGAAACGTCTCACAGTCGTTTATAGTCTGACTGCACTGAAATCAGAGTTCCCTGGTTGATGTGACATGATTATATGTTATGAGTGCATGTGTTAACCTTTCAAAATAAAATGTTCGGTTTCTTCTTTTAAATACCAAATGCTTATAGTTATAATACTTGCTGATATTTTCTCACTGACAGACTCACTTGTTTTCAAACCCCACATATTTAAAGTTGCGGAGTGTTAGATTGATGTTTCTTTCACTCAAATGTCATATTCATCAACTGTATTGTGCTAGCAGATTGTTAAACAGACAAGGTGACTTGCAGAGTGACAAGTGATGTGATGTCCCAAACCATTAAAATACAGTAATGATGTGTTTTTTTCCCTTTCGGCTTTTGCAACACGGTGGGTTTTCTGTAAAACACAGGTGAGAACATTTCTGAGTAGATCCACTGCGTGGAAAAAAATCCTAGTTTAATGAATGACAAAATCTGGAATTCAATTGGAACCTCACAGATAATTGAGAAGTGCTGAAGAGTTAAGAAAAAATAGTGTAACAGTATTTTATAATGAGAAAAAGATACATTATGTTGTAAGAAAAATTAAATTGCTTGATATATTATACTGTCTTACATAATCAGTTTTGCAGGATATTTTTTTTTTTTTCAGTTATAATAAAAGCTGTTTTATAATTTTACTTGAATAGCCTCCCAGGAATACCACAGGAAAGGACGGAACTTCTGCTTAACCTTGTATCAGCTTAAATGTATTTCTCAACTTATCAAACTCTTTTTATTAATGGAGGAAAAAATTGAGGAGCTCTCCACGGAAATTCTGCTGCTGCCTTCATTTACAGAGAGGAATAAGAATGTTCAAGGTAATGAATGATTGTCCTGATTTATTGGTTTACTTTGTGCAAAAGAATAATATTATACTATTTTCAACATTAATTACCTAATTTATGTCATCATATTTTTCAAATAAATGTGTTACCATATCCACTGAAAAAGCTTTTGAAATGTGCAGATTTACATTTGAGCAGAAAGACTTAGAGCAAAGAACTGATTACTGTGTGTAGAGATGTGATGCATTAACTGTAGGCATTGATGGAGCACCATGATGAAAAACTATCAAACACTGTAACAAGATATCTCCTACTAGATTCTCTATAAAATCCTGTGTGTCGCATAGGACACAACAACAAAATACTTGGAGTCTGAATTCTTTGAAATTGACTTTTTCTGAAATTGTCCTTGAAAGCTGTCTTTTTCAAGAAATAAGAGCACTGACTTTAATATCAGCTTAGTTGATCTTAGTCTACATGAAACTAACTGCTTAAGGATATAGTCCTTGTTTTAACCTGTATTTCTCATACTTTCTCATATGTACTATGTTTACTAGCATGCCTATCCCACTGGCCTCAGCGGCTGTGTTACAGAAAGAGGCTCTGCATCAGTAAAATGATGAAGCCTCAGGTTTGCATTTGGTATAGGTTTCCAAGCTCACTCTTTTTTTTTATCTAATTGTATTAAGGAGAACCTGGTATCATGGAAATTCAAGTAACACCTTTCAGGAGTATGCTCATAAATATTCTTCTACTCTGCTGCTTCTGCCAGTAGAGACTCCAAGTCATGAGAGAGAAGTGGTTTCAAGAGCTTTGATTCTATTGCAGGAAAAGATCAGACCAGAAATGAGGCCAGGCTACTCGGGGAGAGGATTGGTGAAGTTAAATGTTCACCATCTCTATAGTCAAGCTGCAGGCTGAGGAGAAAGTTGTTTTGGGAATGATGTAGTCTCAGAATAGTAAATTGATGAAAATAAAAATATTAAGTAAGAGTTCCAAGGCATATGTTTTGTTGATGTATTCTTCACCTGTAATATTGACACTCCAAAATAAAGAAATACAGGTTAATCTATATATTTTTAGGATATACATCAAAGCTGTAATAAAATGTACATTCAAATTCCATTTTTGCTACTAACTTCAATGTATTTCTGCCTCCTTTAGTCACTCAGTTTTACTAATTCTCAAGAAATATTAAACTATTATAAATTATGATATATGTTTTATGGCCTTGACCCTACAAAGAGGTGTTAGAATAAACTTGTGGACTTTTCCGAGTGTGTTGGACAGGGTATACATTCAGTAAGGGCAATGGTAAATGTACTTTTTACTACTGTATTATGTGACAAAGTGTAAAAAAAAATTCAAAGAGTCTTGAATAGGGAAATTTATTTGGTATTTATGTGACTATTATAAGGCATGTTGTCTCCAGTAATTCAGAGAACTTAAAGATTTCAACATTAGCAAGAAATATTTTGCTTTCCAGGAAATAAAAATTACCCTGATGGCTTTTGTCCAAGCTTAATTCCATCCAGAACTATTTCGCCAAAGAATGTTAAGCCACCTTCTTAGAGAAATATTCTTTTAGAGTAATCATGTCTATAGCAAGTCAGTTCTTAATTGGTACCTCTACTTAATCAAATCTGAATGGGAAATATTATTAGATCTTGTAGGAGGCAGTCTTGTGGGTAGAAGGCACATTCTGAAAAAAAGCCCTAGAATTTATTTTACCCTGGAAAACAAGTGAGGGTAAATATTTTTCTGGTGCTTTTAGTGAAGTCTTCAGACATACTTTTGTGTTCAGAGTTGCTGTTCTGATCAGGTGGCTCTATTCACAAAACTTTGCTCAGTGATATACTTACAGATAATTTTTGAAAAGAAGACGTGACCAGAGAAAATTTTAACAAGACATCTGACTAGAAGAAAGGTTTGCTGGTGTTATTTTAATTTTGTATTGTTGGAAATCTCAGTTGTAGTGAAGTGAAAGATGATTTGATGTGGGAGAATGAAAGCTATGTTCCCAGTAGTTCCAGGCTGTGTTAAGTACCAAAAGGGATTTAAGACTTTCTCTGTTAATATCCTATAGTGGGTTGATAATCTTATTTTTTTCACTGATGATGGCTGAGTTTTTTGATAAGAAGGATTGGTTAGAATCTTTGTTTTATTTTCATCAGAACACATTATAGTATGTGACCAGGCAATATATAATGGCCATCTTCTGTGCTTCTTTAGAACCCTTATTACTAGAAATCCTGTTTAATTTGACAGAGTCAGGAGTGTAGATATGTCCGAAGGTCAGGTTAATAGTGCAGCACAGGCTGCAGAACCAGCCTAAGCAAAGAGGATTAGCCCAGGCTGAAGTCTGTGCTGATGGTGCTAGACAGTTACCCATACTTTCAGTAGGTTAAAGCTAGGTTGGGTACAGCCAGTATACCCCTCAGTCTCTGCAGTGAGGGATATCTGAAGTGTCAGTGCTCTATACGTAGTAGTACTGGCAAATTAGGAAAAGATGGTGGATTCATAAAAGGTAGATGAATGTCCAAGTCACCTAAAGTTTCCCTAGACATTGCATAGACAGAAGCCTTGTACTTGTTTTCATTATTTTTTGGTTGCTTCTAGTGTTCATGGGAGACTTTTAATCTATGTAACTCACACAGAGATGCAACAAAAATGCTGTTTTTTTCATGTACTTGTGTCAAGTAGTGTTTTTTTGTGTACAGCTGTTTCAATGTCAATTTTGTTTTATATTCCATATTATTTCAATTTTGATATTTAGAACATGTATAAAGTTCCTTCAGAAACAAAGTAGTTCTTTGGATGGTTCCTCTTTTTAAATTTTTTTTTGTCCCAAAGATGGCATCTGAGTTTTATCTAAACCAGACGGTTTCTTGGCCCTCATTTTTCCCTAAACCCGGCAATGACAAAGAGCAACGGCTGCATAAATTGGATGTAAGAAGAACACTTAGGGTTTATCACAGAAGAATCAAAGATTTCATATCTTCTGACAGATTGTTTGTACTCTTAGGGGGTCTTAAGAGGGGTCAAATGGCTTCTAAGAGTTGCTTAGCTAGATGGTTAAGGGATTGTATTAGAGAGGCGTATGTAGTTAAGGGTAAAGAGGCTCCCAGGGTTTGTAAAGCTCATTACACTAGGACTATAGCTGCTTCTTGGGCGGAGAGGTCGAAGGCTTCCACATTGGAAATTTGCAAGGTGGCCACCTGGGCTTCTCTTCATACTTTTTCATTGCATTATTGCTTGGATGTAGTCTCTTCTGCAGATTCTGCTTTTGGTAGGAGGTTGCTTGTGAACCAAAAAAAGAACAGTGAAGAAAAGAAAGACATGTAGTTCAGAGTTCTAGCTGGCAACAAGACAAGTTTCTTTGCAGCGTGCACAATGGAATCCTATGAAGACCAATTTAGGCCGTTGAAAATAGATGTTAGAGGGAAGTACTGCCTACCAGTGTTCTCTGATGGTAACCCCATGGCAGACAATAGCACCAAAGGAAACAGTGAACCAGAGTGAACTCTGTAGGGAGATGGATGTTGAGAGTTTTTTAGGTGATACGTATAGGTCTCTGAGTTCAGTTTGAGAGTTCTTTATCTGGCATCTTCTGGAATATATTCATAATCCTCATTATCACAAATTACTTTGCATAGATTGGAGAAAATATTTCTCTGAATTGCATTTTCCACTTGAACTTCTTTTCACTGTTCGCCTTCCAATTCTTCTTGATTTTATTTTTTGACTTTACCAGCAGTAACTTAGTGTTCCTCAGTGAGCAATGTGTGCATGCCAAGATTTGAGCTTGATTTAAAACTGTATTTGTGTTATCTAAGCACATTTTTTTAAAAAAATAGCTTAAATACACATTTTGTCTACTACCAATGTGTTCTTCAAGTTATGCTTTAAATCAAATTTAAGGAGAAAATCATGCAAAGTTCTTGGTCAAACAAGTGATGGTGTGGCTTTCTTCCACCCTTGAACATTAGTGTGACATCTAGGTAAGACAGCTGCTCTGCCTTTCAGAGAAAAGGTATCTGTATTTTTCTATCATTTACTCATTTATTCATAATGGTACATAACCTCTCTACATTCCACTAAAGGTATTGGATATCATAAAATTAGAGGAGTAACCATCCCAAGTTTTTTCTTGATTATTTAACCCTTTCATCTGCATGTCTTGTCATGCCTACAGTGATGAGATAGTCTACTTCTCTATTTACATTCAGTTGAAATTCATGAGATGTTCTGACATACCTAGTACTTCCAGCACCACAGGGGTTGTTCTCTTTGAAGCAATCAGGAACATTTTTTTCTACAGTCAAGGGTTAAGCAGGAGATTTGGGTTTAGAACTATGCCAGATTGCATTCTGTTTCCATCTGTAATTAGATTTTTTCTTTCCTCTTGGGTTTTCAGAAGCCTCTTGTTAAGACTTCTGAAAAATAAAAAACATCTAATATGCTTTCATCTGTCTCATTGCAGTGAGAAAGATGAACTTTGTACAGATCAGATAATGAATATCAGGAAAGGATTTTTCCAGTTGAGTGCTTGAAAACACTGTGGGAAGAGTTGTCAAATCCTTAGATTTACAAGCTCTATCTCATGGGACTGGGAAGATTTGCAAAGGTCTTTTCTTCACACCTTAAAAAGAAATCCTAACTCTATATCTGTTTCTGGAAAGTGTAATAAAAGGAGTGTAGAATGCAATTTTAGAGGTGCATCCTCCTAACAGACTTTTATTGCAAAGTTGCAATAATTGCAGTTGAAGATTTTAAAAAATTGTGATTTTTACTTTGGTCTCAACATAAGATGTTCAAGTATCTTCTCTTACAAATACACAGCTTCAGTGGATCAATCCAAAGTGACGATGAATTTACATTAGGGGGGGAATGATTTCAGAGGTGCATTTTCTGCATCTGGGTTAGTACAGTTTGCTCAGTATAGTACAACAAGTAAAAGATCCATTATTGAAGATAGAAAAGCTGAAGGCTTTTTTGGCCCACAGTTAGTCAGGGATTTTTTTATTATTATT